TTCTTTCTAATAAAGGGTTTTCCAATAAGAGGTGTTATTTTGAATAGCCCGCTATTTCGGTAGATGTCACTTTTGAAGCTGTCATTTTTTGACATTTGACAAGTAGAAAGTACGCCATTAATAAAAATGGAACGATACACGCTTCAACAACGCATTGAAATTATTAAAATTCACTATAAAAATGGTGAAATTTTGGCAGAGACGGTTCGTAAAACTCGAACATTTTTGGGTCGTCGTGATGCACCTTGTCGGACCGCAATACAGAAATTGGTGGAAAAATTCGAGCTGTTGGGACAAGCTCAAGAACAGCCGAGAATATTGCTGCTGTAGCCTGTAAGAGAAGGTGTACGCCAACAGCCCAGCGTCGATTCAAGACCTCAAAGATGGAATTCGTGAGGCTATTGAGGACATAGGGCAGCCACTTTGCAATTTGGTTATGGAAAATTTCATGGAAAGGATATTGTCCTGTAAGCGTGGTCGTGGTGGTCATTTGCGTACGGCATACCTTCTTCTTTATAATGAAATAAACAACCGATCATTTATACTAAAAAATGGCATTTTTCTTTGAATATCAAAATAACACCTCTTATTGGAAAACCCTGTAGTTAGCACTGCATAAAACTGAAAGGACATTCTGTATACTCACTTGAAAATGCTATTGAGGTACTTTTGCCTCAAGATTTTTGAATACACTTTGATATGTATGGTGTTTGCAAAGATTATTTATAGGAAACCCGGATATTGTTAATAGCTTATTAACGTCATATGAAGATAATTTATGTTTACAAGTAAAACTTACTCAAGTGGGCGATGAAAAAACACTCAGCAATTTAAATTAAAATTACATCAAAATATTATGAACAGGTATGGTAATATGCATACGCAAAGATTTTAGCAAAACGGAATCTCTTTACGGTGGTTTATGGCAATTATTTAATTGCCATAAAAATAATCAAGTTAGCTCATCGTAATTATTTAAAACCTAGTCAGAAAAGCGAAATTTCGAAATGCAGCCTTCGTAACTTTACTTGTGGTAACATCTGTTTATGTAACATTTATTAATTAGTAATTTTTTCTTAACGTTCTAAATAAATTGTTTTAACATGAATCATAAACCGTTAATTTTCGATTAAACTCTTCGTATTTTATAATTCAGATAAAGACAACTTTCGAAATTTGTTTATCATAATTTCTGAATCGAATAACCGGATAATACCACTATATGGTATAATTCTGATTGGACGTATCGAATTGACAAAGTCGCGAATTCACGAGTTAGCTTTCGCGAAAAAGCCCCGAAACGTAAATAAGCGTGTATTTGATAGCTTTATGAACGCGTATGCGCGACGTCGACGAAAATCGCGTCGTGGGGATTTGATTTTTCTGAACGCGCTCGCCACGAGACCGTTCAGTGTAGCGACCACTTTCATGTCGATTAGTGTTTCTTCTACGCTTTCGGCCAGTTGACGTTAACTCAGGCAAAATGTGGAAGAGTTGTCACGCGGCATAGCTTCTGTTCGCGGAACACTTGAAAGTAAACTTTCACCTTACCAAATACCGTTCTCGCAAAGAAGCTGTGTTCATTTTTGTTTTCGTTAATTTATTAAGTTTTTGTTTCTAGTCTTTTTTTGTGATTTGTAATTTAAAATACATAGTGACTGGCTGTGATATATTTAAAAAGAAAGAAACTCAACTCAATCACTGTGATATTAGGTGAGAAATTTTATTTCATTCTTTATCATGCGCATAATTCTTTCAAGGTAAAAGTAATTGGCATTTTGATAAGTCACATTTCTTAGTTAGTCTCGTGACTTGATTATACGAATACGAATTAAAAAACGTCATCTAATAAGCATATGTACCGGTTTGAACTAATTTATCTGTTTAATCTAATGCTAATAGTGCTAAAGTTTTAGCAAACAGGAACAATAGGTTTTTCTTTATCTGGTAATTAAGTTATCTTTGTTACACGATCATTTTTATCGTTATTGAGTATACATCATAAAATAATATGTATTAATAAATTTAGAACTTTGCTGCTAAGAGCCCACGACTGTCAAATCTTACTCAATAAAGTCGAGTGTAAAACGTCATCTTTTATAGTACACATTGAAGCGTGAATTTATACTTATCGAGTATTGGGTGATGTTTATAAATAGAATTTTTGTTTTAAATCAAAAATAAAAAAAAAAAATAAGATTATTTTAAGCGATTACTAAGATAGCTGGTTATTGCTAAATAGTAAAGGGAATGTCATTAACCGATATATAAATAAATGTAAAACCGATTGCATCCAGACAGTGGTTTTGGCATCGTATCAAAATTTCACCCCGAACATTATTTGGCAAATATATAAACAATTTCACTTTTATTTTTAGCCGCCAATAAATTTAACCCCGACATGTAATTCGGGGTCTAACTTTCGTGTACAAATTTCTTTGACGTTATTATTTATCAACGTTCTTGACTTTAGATAACCCATACGCATTTAATTTCTTTTCTTTTTACCACAATTTAATTTGAAACACATTTTTAATAATTATTTCAAGTAAATACTTTGTTTGTTACTTCTTATCTAGTAACTTAAAAGAAAATTAATACAAGTTTTTTCCAACTTAAAAACTGGTTTAAACAAAAAACGTTTGTTTTAACGATGTTATAATGAGTATGACGCCGTTTTATCATCGGTATAAGTACTGAGATTTACTAGAAAAATTTTGTAGTTGTTATTTAACTATTGCAACGTGATCCAAAACATCAATGCATCATCGAATCGTCTTAAGTGTTACCAAACTTTTTTCGCATAAAGTGACGTTATCTGCTGATCTGGTCAGACGGACGTTGTAAAATTCTTTTATGGAATAATTAATTAATAATTATAAAAGTGGTTCATTTAATGGAATATTATAAAATAAGTGCTTCATCATAAAATGGTTTTGTCGTGGTGTAAGATTTTTATCATACTAATTCATTAATAATTTAATTCAACCATAATTTAAAAAAAAGATATTGATCTTTGGGAAAGTATGCAAATTACGTAGAGAAGTTGACCTCACCACCGACGTATCCGTAAAAATGTTTTGGCAGTTATTTTTGGAATGCGACGCTTACGAAAACACGTTTAAAGTCTAAAAGTATCTAAAAATTGTCCTGTTTGTCGATAATGTAAAGAATAAAAGAAAAACTCAACTGGCGCCTCGTAAGACGTGTTTTTCAAAAATTTCAATCACATTTTTTCTCTTTGTAACGATTCAAAACAATTTTTATGATTGGTATAGGGTTTTATGTAGAATAAATATTGATTGACTTAGATTGTCTTGTCATTAGTCGCTTTTCTAGCTATCTTATCTAAGAATTAATTCAAATATATTAATTCTTCTATTTCTGTGTTGTACAATAAATAGTTGTGTTATATTATGTTAGCTATTTGATGTTATAAAAATATTATGTATTTAGGCATAATACACGATATATATAATTATACTTGGTTACTAATTGGTTACTACTTAATTCCTATTTGTCGATTGCGGCTACTACTTAGTGTTAAGTGGAAGATCGCAGCCTTTTTAACCGTTAGGAAGAACCATTTAAGTTTTGAACTAACACCTATAATAAGAAGTCTAAATAAAAGGGGGTTCAAGACGAATATGATATAACGCCCCGTTAAGTAAAATGAAAGCTAATTTACAGTAACTTGATGTATGATCTTTTTAAATAATATCGAAGGATTCTCTTCCATGTACAGATCTTTTGAAAGAAATTTCGTGATCTTTGAGACATCGAGATAAACGCTATAAAGTTAATAACAATAAAGATGTTACTAGAAAATTAAAAAACTTTAGCATATGAAATAAAGTATGGTATGATTGATTAGATAGTTCTGAGTTCTTAAATCATAGACTTGGGTTTTAAAGTGAACTTAACTTCACTCTCTATATATATAGCTTTCCTTCTTCCTTTCTGACAACATGTTATGCCTCTGAATTTTGATGTAACTGGTTACCTCTGTTTCATTGATGTAAAAAAAATTCATGGTTTCTCCTCCTCAGAATTTTTCTCTCGAATATATTTACATATTCTGTTAGTTTCTATGTTAATATCCACGTTTCGTAGCTATACGTAAGGATAGGTCTTGTTATGATTTTTATATTTTGCTTTTAAATATGTTTGCGAGGGCGAAGTAAGCTTTGTTGGCAACCTCGTATCACTTTCAATATGATCTGAATTATATTCTAATGTTCATAATTGATTATTCTACCTTTACTCAAAAAATCTGCAATTTCCATTTGAAAATATATTCCGTGAATCAGTAATAATTACAGAACGCTCAGTTTTATTGAATTCCTTTTTTAAAGCTAACGTATATATTAGTGCACTCATTTATAGTGTACGACCTTGTCATTAACCTGCGCCGGAAAATGTTTATATTAATAATAAACGTTTTTTTTTCTATGCGTATTAACATACACATAAGAATTTTGAAGAACCTGCTGCTATTAACGAATTCATAAAAAATAAATTAATTCAAATGTGTATTATAAAATAGAGATTTTATTAAAATATTTTTATTCTTACACCTCTGAGTATATAAAACATTATGGTTCGGTAATTCCATGTTTTTTTCTTTCCTCGTATTTATCTTTAATTCTCACCTATCTTATTAACTTTATTATCTCTAGCATAAAACCATAAAGATAACATTGAAAGATCAATTATCATATAATTTTTTACATATTTATAACAAAAAGCAAAGTATTTATTTTTATTTTTGAGAACTCCACCTCTATTATTCAGAGAAATTCGTCGTCTCGTCTTTGGTATTTACCAGCTAATTGGCAGAAATAACGAAACCGTGAACTAAATTAAAAGAATTATCATCTTAGTGATAAAACGGTGTATTCATATTTCTCGGTCTGCTTGTTTATTTTCGGGTTAATGAGTTTTTTTTATTTAATTATTGTTTTATTTTTTATTTAATCATTTTTATTTTTTAATTTTAGGTAATAGCATGAAAATGACGATGTGCACGGCGCCTACGATGGTGCCTCGCACACCGGCTAAAAGACCTGGAAGACCACCGAGTGGTAAACGACTTGCAATGACTAGGAATCTTCCCGGTAAAATTCGGGCTACAGTTAGAAGAAGCCTTGATCCATGTGATAATTCCAATGATAGTGGTTTAGGGTAAGTAAATGTATTTTTTTTTAATCCATTTATTAATCATTTTCTTATTATAATTATTTAGTTGTGTTATATGATATATTTTATTATTTATAAAGTTTATTGCGTTGTTTAGAAAATGTTTTTGTGTCACGAGGTATCATGAATTTTTCATTTGGTTGTTTACGTCTACAATGATGGTTCTTTTTAATGTATTTATCTAGTAATACTAACGTTTTATTTCATTTATTAAAATATTTATAAATAATATATTATCTTATATGGAATAGATGTTCTATTATAAGATATAAAAAAATATTTCATTTGAGCGAGAAGATGTAGAGAGGTCGGGGAAATGGGTAGGATTTATAGACAATGAATATTCCTGAGTTGTTATTATTATTACTGTTATGTGAATTCCGTATTGTAATCCACTGGAGGTAATAAATTATTATTATTATAATTAATTCATACTACATAGCTCTTACTTTATTTATTCCGCTTTAATGCAAAAAATGGTAACTTTCAACTTGTTTTTTAAACGACCTCGCCTTCAGGTTATTTCACTAATCCGTGTTATTGTTTACAAGTCCTTTCGAGGAAGTGTTATTTTTTTAATATAATTTCTTCGTTATTTGCGGTATAAAATGATAAATATTGATGATTTAATATTATTAACCAAAAATCTTTCAACATAAAAACTTACCTAATCATCATTTGCATTGAAACGATGTAATTAATTTGAAATGATATAAAATTCATTTAATTATGTTTTTAAAATTGTTATTAAAAGACATCCTGTTTGTTTTTCAAAGCCACTCATTTAGCTCATTTATTTTTATCTCCACATTATAATTATTATATTTTTTTAAGATAAAGTTAAAGATTACTTTCACTACTTAAAGGTCACGTCATTTTTTAACCAAGCTTTTATAATCGTTTACTAAATAAAGTATAAACGATTTGTTAAAGTTTTTTTTTTCGATGACGACACATTTTATCGCTACGCAGAGATATCTCCAAAGAGGCTTTAATCTCGGTTGAGTAATACTTGTAGTAGTAAAAAAAGGATTGCGATTTGCTATCGCTGCCGGCTATTACACGATTTATATACGAATTGTTTTTTTTTTTTCTAAAAGGAGATAACACGACTATTTTCAGCATTCTGATTTTTTTGTTTTTTAGAACGAGGTCTTTGAACGATGATCATTTTTGTTTGGAGATAAGATAAAAAAGAAAAATTAGACATTTACGATCACCATCTTAATCCATTATCATTTGGAATACAAAAAAAAATAATTAAATTTGTTTAGCGTAATTTAAAAAAAAATCTTTTTGTATCTTACAGTTTTGATAACCATTTTGATCCTTACGCAATGGGTATGCAGGAAAGGATGCACTGTCCGGACGAGAGACTGCAACCAAAAAGATCACGATTAGATGTTAAAATTGAAGACGAAATAAATGACAGCTATAGTTTTCCGGATCATGTATCCGCTTGCGAAACTCAAAATAACTCGACAACGTTGGTTTTTTTCTAAATTTGATCACTTTTCTTCACAATTAATTCGTTTTCTTTTACAGATTGATTAGAACAGCGCCCACATCCTCGGTTTCATCACTCAGCATCAGTGCGTCACAGACAAGCACGTCAACTCATACAACATCAAGATCAGCATCTTTAGTTAGCCATTCCGCTCAATCGGGAACACCAGTCACACTTGCGACACAATTATCACATACTTCAAAATATGGTAAAAAAATGATAAATTAAATGATTAATTAATCTCGATTATTTTGTTGTTTAGGTGATATTTCGTTGAGTATTATTTGTCAACCTGAACAGCAACATAGAGCAAGGTATCAAACGGAGGGAAGTAGAGGAGCTGTTAAAGATCGTACCGGAAATGGATTTCCCATGGTGAAATTAAATGGTTATAATAAACCTGTAACACTACAGGTAAAAAATATATCATTTTTAAAAAATATATATAAATAAAATAAAAATGATTAAAAATAATTAATTAATTAGGTGTTCATCGGAAGTGATACTGGAAAAGTAACACCACACATGTTTTATCAAGCTTGTAGAGTAAGTGGAAAGAATTCAACTCCATGCACAGAAAAGAAAATTGAAGGCACGATTGTAATCGAACTACTAATGAACCCCGCTAAAGAAATGACGGCAACTTGCGATTGCGTCGGAATCTTGAAGGAACGAAATGTTGATGTTGAGCATCGATTTCCCGATCAGCAAGGGCCTAGAAGCAAAAAGAAATCAACGAGATGTAGAATGGTGTTTCGAGCGACCATAACTCATAATGACGGTGTTCAGGAGACTTTACAAGTTTGTTCACAACCGATCGTTTGTAGTAAGTTGCTTTAATTGATTTATTTTATTTCTATTGATCGATTTTATTTTTTTTTTAGCGCAACCACCTGGTATTCCTGAAATTTGCAAAAAATCTTTGACTTCTTGTCCAGCGACGGGAGGCTTGGAATTATTTGCACTTGGTAAAAATTTCTCAAAGGACACAAAGGTTTATTTCCAGCTAATGGAGAATGATCATGTTCGCTGGGAACAATCGGTAGCACCTGATAAAGAATATTTGCAGCAGGTATAAAAATTATTATACAGGGTGTCTCAACGAGAATGGTCATTAGGCGGTTTTGGGGTTCAAAATAAAAATTTGAGAATACTTATTTAAGTATTATCAATTGCGTTCTCTTCAACTAAAATATTTTTAGATTTATAACACTTCCGGTTATACCGGAAGTCGCCACCTACTTTATTTTTTTAAATGGAATTTAATACTATATATTTTTATAAGTTTGGATTTGTCTGTTTTCAAGGCTTATGAATACTTTTTACAATTTGATTCGGTCGTTCTCGAGTTATTCGATTTTTTTCTAAAAAAATCTGCTCTAGCAAACATTTGTTGAAAAAATCAGAGAATACTCGATTTTTGAGATATCAATTTCGGATTCAGAACATGCTTAAACAACATGATTGAGTATGTTTTGGTGCAAAGAACGACTGTCTAGATCGTTTGGCCACTTTACTATCGCACGTTAACTTTTCGAAATTTTGAAGTAACATAACTTCATTTTTTTAAATAGCACCCCCTCTGTTACATCTTTTATACTCCATATACCTAACATTAATAGTTTGGGAAATAATTAGGGTTTTTTTGAAAAATGTTCACATATATCGATATTTAGCCTAGTGTGCCATGGAAAACGAGCCTTCTCAATGAGTTCTTGTCAAAGACTCACTTGTTTACGTCACTTGATGCATGTGAGCTAATAATTATCTGTTAGGTCTCTTAATATTAGTACTAAAAAAAGTTAAAATCGATAACAATAACGAAAATAATATTTACACAAATCAAGAAATTCTTAATTTATTTTTTATACATGAAAAGCGCGACTAACTTCGTAGTATGATTCCCAGATCTTCTTTAGCAGCTCGAATTGAGGCGTTGGGACTGGGCTCGAAATTCACCTCTTCCGCTGCATTATCTATTACATTTTTTGATCAGCTTAACACGTGGTTAATTCGTCCAAAATGCAAAAAATTTGCTCTTCTATTCTTCTAAATTTACCTTTTGTCATCGGAGGTAAATGTGGATAGTTTTCATTAAACATTCTGCAAGTTCTAGTAACAACTTTATCGCACTTTCCGTGCATAAAAAATAAATTAAGGATTTCTTCATTGTATAATAGTATATTAAAAAACAAGTTTCGTAAGACACGTTTGAAATGCACGAATTCAAGTTGAAAAACGAGTTTTTTTAATGAATGAGTGCTTTAAGTCTTATGAAACGTGTTTTTTATGCTATTTTTTGTAATTCGCGTTTTTATCCTTTTTTTTCTCAAAAATAAAATAAATTTTGACAATGTAGGGAAATAGGTATGTAGCAGTTGGTAACACCGTAACACTTGAAAATAGAAATTTGAATGACAAATAGAAACTGTCAAAACACAAAACGTATTCACCTGATAAAAATGTTAAATGTACATCTCCCAAAATAAGAGTTCAGAGTTCAATGTCCTCATCATTGTGGACCTTGTATTCGATGCTAAGAACGTGTTTAAACATCCATAGACAAAAATTGTCACATTGACAACTAGAAAAATTAATGACCCAATGTCACCAACTTGAACTGGTTCCATAAAATGTTACTAAAATCTCATTACAGCATCGGATGCTGTAAAGAGTCTCATTACAGCACCCGTTTGAGTACTGTAATAGCTTTCTTTACCGTCGCGAATTACAAAAACATTATTTACGTTATTTATATCCATTTTAACTGGTTTTAGACTCACAAGCATTAAACGATATAGATATGATATGTGAGCACTTTTCAAAAAACCCAAATTATTAATGTTAGGTATGGGACTTTTATGGGATATAAAAGATGTAGAATGAATGGTGTATAGGCGGTGTAATTATATGATAAAACGATGTCATTAAGCCAATCTAGCGAAATAAATCACGACTTTGGAATACATTTACTTATACAGTCTCAGCTTATACAGTGTGTTAATTAATTATCGTACCCGACGTCATCATTGCAAGTATGCAACTAATATCACAGTGTAATACGCAAATCGCCTCTACTGTGATATTGGTTGCATACTTGCAAGATAATTAATTAACACACTATGTATAGTCTTACTTTTATTCTTCAAGAAGCAGTGTTATGTTACTGAAAAATCTCATTTATCACTAAAGGTTTTCACTATCACCAAATATTTAGTGATAGTGCAATTTTTTTTTCACTATCACTAAATATTCAGTGAGGATAAAATACGTGTTTTAATTACCACTGAAAAAGGAGTGGTAGTGAAACGGTTATTGCATTTATTTTTTAGTGCATTATGCCCATGCTCCATCATGTTGCTTAAGCATGTTCTGAATCTTAAATTGATATCCCAAAAATCGAGTGTTTTCTGATCTTTTGAACAAATGTCTGCTGGAGCACATTTTTCTGGAAAAAATCGAATAACTCGAGAACGGCCGAACCAAATTGCAAAAAGTAAAGTTATTCATAAACCTTGAAAACAGACAAATCCAAATATGTAAAGATATACAGGTATTTCATTAAAAAAAATAAAGTTGGTGGCGACTTCCGGTATAACCAGAAGTGCTAGAAATCTGAAAATATTTTAGTCGAAGAGATACTTAAGTCTGAATTCTCAAATTTTTATTTTGCCCAGAACCCCAGAAACGTCTAATAACCGGTCTTATTGAGACACCTATATACAGGGTGTATCTGAATGACATGCCCAAACTTCAGGGGTGATTCTTTTAGTCAATTTTAAGGGTACTTTGATATATAAACCATGGGCGACTTGGGCTTCCCTAAGGAGCTACACCCCTCCAAAAATGGCGGAAAATTTTGGTTTAATTTTTTTTTCTCAAAAACCATAAACGCTAGGACAACGAAATTTGGGGAATATGTTTAACTGGTAGTAGGGCACGTTTTCACCCTATTTGTACTTTCAACCTATCCTTCTAAACTACTAAACGTAACCACCCCCTTTACATTTTTGCTAAAATTTTTTTATGCAGAGGGTAAATACATTAAAAAAAAATTACATAGGTAGATGAAAGTATCCTAAAACTTTTTTGCCTCTCTAAAATTTTGCCAAAAACGACTAATTTTTGAGAAAAAAAATAATAAAGCAAACACTGCCCGTTAAACAACGGGGTTGTCGATCAAAAGTTGGAATGAATTTTTAATGAAAAAATCTTAGTAGGCTTTGCAATCTTTGTCAAAAATATTTTTGATAAC